AACAACAACAACAATAACTTCTTTTAGTCTATTTCAGCAGCCCAAGATTATTAATACAGCACTTATAGAAAAAAAAAGTGGCAATCTATGGACAACTCGGACTACAATGACTTGGATTGCAGAAGTTATCAAAGGGAATGGCCAAGCCAAAATACAGTCTATGTCTATGGCCTTGATTTTAGAAAGATAACACATACACATGAATTTAACAAGGAGGTCTCAGTTCACGTTCAAGCTTGCTATCTCTAGCCTGTAATAGCTGTTATCATCTGAACAGTCTTTTGTGTCCTATCACAGTTGGGCCTTTACTCAACTCCCCTCAAGTATCATTGCCAGGCTGGTCTACAGAGCAAGTCCCAGGACAGCCAGGGTCACACTCAAAGGAACCCTGTCTGGAAAAACAAAAACAAACAAACAAATAAAAATTGAATAAATTTGTTTAAGTGGGTGAATACTAGTGTATAGTCCCTAAAGAAATAGAGGGTGAGAAATGTCATATTCCACGCCAATGACAACATGGCCGCCACCGATGCCGCCACCACCACAACCACCAAAATAGAGCTACAATCTGAAGACATAACAACTTTGATAAATAAGGATAATACTTCTCTGAGTTGGTGTAAAACAAGAGTATGAGGTTTGTACCTGACATGGAGAAAGTTTTTCAGTAAATATCAGAACAAATACCCTCACGTGGTAAACTGATATCAACGAATGAGGAACAAGGCAAAGAGCAGACAGCTCCTTTTAGAAAACCAGTTCTCAACCTGTGGGTCATGACCCCTTTGGGGGTTGAATATCATATATCCTGCATACCAGATATTTATATTATGACTCATAACAGTAGCAAAATTACAGTTGTGAAGTAGCAATGAAGTAATTTTATGGTTGGGGGTCACCACAGCATGAGGAACTGTATTAAAGGGTTGCAGCATTAGGAAAAGTTGAGCACCACCGTTTAGATTCTCAGCAGCTCAAGGCTATGTGTTCAGAGATGACAGAACTTCACATGACCCATGGAAAGCAAATATTTGATGTGGTGTTTGTTCTCATGCTCAGCCCTAGTAACACAGTTTGGTTTTGTTTTTCTCTTACCTAATAACGTTAATCCTAAGCATAAGGGAGACAATTAAATGGGCTTTCCTGGAATATTCTCCATTTTCCACATTTTGTAGGGGTCTATTAATAGTTTCTATGGCAATACAGGGTATTATTTGATGTTCTTGGTTAATGTACTGGATCCTGCTTTGAGGTGTTCAATCAAATCATCAGAGCATTTTGGAGATAGCCCAGGATAAACCCTTGAATTGACAATTTCTGAAGTGAGAGATTTTTTTACGATGGTCACTGAACGACTTACCCAGGCATTTATAAATACTATGAGGATAAGTCAGGGACACACCCATCCTGACCTTCAAGCCCAGATTAAGGTGCTACCAATAATTTGAAGACATACATACCTTGGGAGACAGAGTCAGAATTCAGGAACCAGAAGTAACTCCCAGCTAGAGCCAACCTGTAGACATTGCAACATAACCCTGTCATGTACAAAGTTAACATAAACCAAGCAACCAAACACACACACACACACACACACACACACACACACACACACACACACACACACACACACACACACACACACACACACACCTCATAATATTTTAAAATATTTTAAGTTTGCGATTTTGTGTTAGGCTATATTTATAGGTAGCCTTGGCTGCACACCTGAGGTGGACAGTGTGTAAGGGTAGGCGACTGAATGTTGTTGGTTCTTCTCCACTTCAGAATCCTGGTGCTTTTCATTGCTGAATCCTGGTTCTGGAGAGACCTCTTACACTTCAGGAATCTACCAGATGAACAGGCAGAAACCAAAACACACAGCCCTTTCCTTCTGCAATTTCTCCAGCACCTTCAGCTAATAATGCCTTGTGCCTGCCAGCAAGAAAAAGCATCTTAAGGGCTCAGACCCACCTCGCCTAGCAGACAGAATGGGTCACTTCAGTCCAGAGAGGCTAAGAAAAGAAAACTGGAATTACTGTCTGCTGTGTGCCCGGATTTCACCTTAGGATAGATAGCTTGAATTTCTCATTTCAATGTTTTCCAGAGGTGAAGATTTTGCTAGTGGTCGTCAATTGTTGTGATGAAATTTATTCTTGTCTTCTTAAAATATAATTATTAATATTGTGTGTGAGTATGTGCAGTGAGTGTGTGCAAGGCATAGCGCTCACTTGGAGGTCAGAGGACAACGCTGTGGAGCTGATTCTCTTCCTCCACTTTTACGTGGCGTCTGGGGATTGAACTCAGGTCATCGGGCTTGCTCAGCAATCTTAGCAGCCCCATGATTTTTAATCATAACTGCTATGTGACTACTATGTAATACCATGTAAATGTGGTTTCTAATTTTACTTTTTGAAACCCATGTGCCACTATAAATAGAGAGGCAGTTTCTTTTGGGGTAATCATCCTGTTCTAAAATTACGTTGTGGTAATGGTTGTAAGGCTGAATGTTAAGATTCATTTAATTTTACACTTCCCTGAAATAAAACCAATGGAGGCTTTTCAGGCTGCAGATCACTTGATTATCATGAATTGTGTACAACTCTTGACTGTTTGCTCCTTAGACATACTCCCAATTCCTTCTTTGTTTTTTGTTTTGATTAAATTTACCTTTCTTTTTATTTGTTCAAGTCCTTATATTTCCTTCTTTCTTTCCTTTTTTTTTTCCTTTTGAGACCGATCTTATATGCAACCCTGGGTAGGCTGGAACTCTGCACAGATACTACATAGACCAACTGGGTTGTGCCTCTGCCTCTCCTCCTGAATCTGCCTCCTGAGTATGGGAGTTATTGGTATGTACCACTATACTGGGATGCTCAAAGGTTTACATTTTCTGCTTCGTATTTATATGTTGGTGTTTTGGGTTGTTTTTTTTACTCTTTTAGGGGTCCCACCACCCAGCTCCTAAATAAAGCACACATGGGGGCTTATTCTTAACTATAAATGTCCAGCCTTAGCTTGGCTTGTTTCTTACCAGCTTTTTTTAACTTTAAATTAACCTGTCTCTCTTTTTCCTCTCTACTGCTGGTTGTGTAGCTGGGTGGCTGGCCCCTGATCTCCTCCTCCTTCTCTTGCTCCTAGATATTCTCCTCCTCC